GGTGAATCATATGCAGCAGCTGCGGCAGGCAGGGGGCCAGTGTCCCAGCATGACCACCACAGCGAGCCCCCACGCCAGCTACGGCCAAGGCCACCCCCAGCTGAGCTCCAGCACCATGGGCGGGGCCCTGAATCCATTCCCCGCATCCTGCAGCAACCTGGCAGCCAAGCCCAGTCACCTGGGGCTCCCCCAGCAAATGGAAGTTGTTCCCGACCCCTCCATGATGGGTAGTAGACGCAGGGAACTTGGGGCCCCCAATGCCACCCTGGCCGGGATGGCACCACTTCATGCAGCCCAGAGCTACCCACAGCAGAGCCATCACCTGGCAGCCCCCATGAGCCAGGAGGGCTACCACCAGGGCCCCAGTCTTCTGCCTTCCCACCAGCCCGGCTTCCTGGAGCTGCAGCAGGCCTCAGGGGGGCTGGCTGGGCCCGGCTGTGGCCTAGTGCAACCCCGGCCACCTCCTGAGCCCAGCCCTGCTGGCCACCACCGTGGGGTACGTGCCGGGCAGCAGCTGGCCTATGCCAGGGCCGCTGGCCATGCCATGGCTGCTGTATCAGCCAACCAGGAGATGGCAGAGTCTGTGCCCAAGGGAGTGATGGGCACTATGGCATCCTTGCCTCCTCAGCTGCCCCCACAGGACACGGGTGGAGCCCAGGACCACAACATGCTCTACTATTATGGCCAAATCCACATGTATGAACAGAATGGAGGCCTGGAGAACCACGTAGGCTGCCAGGTCATGAGGCCCCAACCACCGCAGCCACAGGCCTGCCCGGAGGGCCTCCAGCCCCAGCCCTTGTCCTCACCAGGCGTCAACCAGGTGTCCAGCACTGTGGACTCCCAGCTGCTGGAGGCCTCCCAGATCGATTTCGACGCCATCATGGATGACGGCGACCACTCAAGCTTGCTCTCGGGTGCCCTGAGCCCCAGCCTCCTCCACAGCCTCTCCCAGAGCTCCTCCCGCCTCACCACCCCCCGGAGCTCCCTGACTCTGCCCTCCGTCCCCACGGGCATCAGCAACATGGCCGTCGGGGACATGAGCTCCATGCTGACCAGCCTGGCCGAGGAAAGCAAGTTCCTCAACATGATGACCTAAGGCCCCGGCCCCTGGTGGAGGGGACCCCGAGGAACTGTTGTTTCCAGAGTGGGGTGTCATCCATTTTGTCTTTTTCCAAAAAAGTATTACTAGGCCTGGGGGGAGGGGTGCTGTGGTTCAGACCACAATGCTTTAAGGCAAGTTTACCTGCACCCTGTCTGGTCTTCTTTGGGGTTACTTTTGGAACACTGAGCAAACCTCAACAGGAAGGCTCGTTTACACAGTGCTCCCGCCTCTGGTGTTTAGGGGACCACTCTGCTCCGGCTCCTTCGCCCGTCACTGAGGGGTCCCACCGGCCAGGGCTTTCCAAGTACACGAGGAAACGGGCAGAGGAACACATTTGGGTTTGAATCAGAAAGCCATACTGGATGTTGTAATCCAGGAAGATGAGCTTCTATTCCGATCCTGCAAGGAGGAGGAGTTGCTGGCCCCGGAGTCCTTCCGCAAGCCGGCTGTGAGGCCGCTACCGTCCCTGGTCGCGGAGGAGAGAGTTCGCCCAGGTGACTCGGAGCACATCCTGATTCCAGGGGCGGTAGAGCCGGCATCTCTACCCACAGAGCCAGGTGTGCACCTGGCAGACGGCCCGCATGTGTAGAATGAATAAAGGACGGAAGTGTTGCCAGAAAAGGGAAAGAAGACACCATGACGCTCGGGGGTGCTCAGAGGCGGCGGGCCTCCAGGCGTGTTTACAGCGTCCACGCGTGTAAAACGTGGCCCTCCCTGAAAGGAACACTCCCTTCTGAATGCCCCGGGGCTGCTGGAGCTGCTGCGGCCACGGGTGACCGAGGGGCCCACGCGTGGACGGACCTTTAGGAAGTGAGTGCACAGGGCCCAGCCTCGGGCGCCTGGCGTAGGAAGAGTCACATGTTTACCCAGCCCTGTTTCCCCAGGGCACTGCCCGCCCACTCTGCCCCAGGCCCTGATGGCGGCCTCTCCAGGTGCCTCCGGCCACGCTGCCCACTCTCCAGCAGCCCGGGGTCCCTGCCGAGTCCCGCACCCCTGGGTCCCCTCCCTCTGCCCTCATTCGTTCCAGAGAATGATGATGTGCATGGCGTCT